GGCAGGTTCCATCGAGGCGCTATGAAGCTCACCCACAAAAAAATAGGTCACAGGTCACTTGCTACTCAAATTTGGACTAGTGGAAAGAATTCAGTCAGCAGTTTCTAGAAATCTTTAAGGAGGATCCAGCCAGTCTTCGTGTTTTCTGATAAGGCATGCATTGAAAACACTGAGCAAGACTCCATGCAAAGGTTCCCAAGACATACAAAGAATGCACTCTGCCATTAGTAGGAATAACCATGACCACCATTTTATAGGATCCAAAAGTCTGTTTTGATGAATGGCAAAACTACAAGTACAAGGAGTTATTTCAACAATTGAATGGAAAAAACTGAAGACAACTTTGTCTGAAGCAGAAGCAGCATTGCCTGTTGACCTAGAGACACTGACACTCATAAATGTGATTTTACCCCCACCTGGCCCAATATGATTTTGATGTTTAAAAATCTGAAGGATCACTATTGAAAATGAAAGCTTAATGGTACCCACCAAGGTGTGGCTAGAGGAAACGTCTAATTTTGCTGGCATTCTGTAGTTTAAAGATGAAATAGACTGTGTGTATTGAAGTCAAGACAGATGTGGCTCTGTGACTACAACCACGTAAATACCCTGTTCTTTGAACTTATTGAATATTGTGTTGATGTTTTTTTATTACAATATCTCAGTAATCAGATAGATTGCTGGATTATCATAGATATTTATTTTCTAATTTATAGTTGAAGAGATTATACAGTATATTTAAGGTGTAAGCTCCCTATATGTTTAAAATAATATATATAAAATATTATCCTTTATAGGGTGGCATGGTGATGCAGTGGTTAGCATTGTTGTCTTGCAACACAGGGTCCTTAGTTCAGTTCTGGACCTGAGGCGCGACCTGCATGGAGTTTGTATGTTGTTCTCGTGTTCGTGTCTGTTTTCTCTGGGTGCTCAAATTTATTAAAGAATAATATTAGGATAAATATTAGAAGAAAATGTCTTAAACGAATATTAAGAATATGCAAATTAATTAATTTAAGTTTGCTAAACAATATTATACTAAACAGAACCGGGAAAATCATTGTTTGAAACAGTATTATGTTGCCATATAAAAGTTTCTTTATGGCACTTTTAACATATACTATTATAAATGTAACTAATTAAAATAAAATGATAATGGTTTCTTTCATCCTTGATCCCTATCACTATCCTGAACAGTGCCTAATGACAGTGGAGAGACACACATCCTGCCAAGACCAGCAGGTGTCAGAACGTCTACAGAGGGGCTTCATGTCACTTCCATCTAAAAAAAAAATGTCTAACAGTCTCTTAAAATTGTATTTTCAAACCAAAGTGATTCTTGCTGAGGGTGAAATTGTGAGATTGCATCAGTGGTTGAGTTGCTATGGGTTACTGTTGAACTTGACCTTGAACTTTATTGCCATACAGTATGTAACCGGTACATATACTGGTACAATGGAATTCTTACTTACAGAAAGTCTCTCAATTGTTAAAACAAGTGTAGAAACACAAAGTGCAGACAGTGCATCAAGACAATACACAAACAAACAGTAGACAATGTACAAGTAAACAAGTAAACAGTATGAATGTATACAATGCAGACGTGTAAACAATGACTGGAGATGTGCAGTCATTATGAAATCATAATGAGGTAGATGGTACAGGTGTGGTCCGAGGGGCATGGCTAAATGTGTTCGCCAATCGCACAGTGCTGTATACATGAACAACACATATTGTACTTTGCTACACATACATTTTCACCACCAACATAACCTTGTCTGTCCAGGCTGGAGTGGTTCACATTATACAACCGCAGGTTGATCAGAGGCAGGGTTCAGTTTCACCTTATGGTGATTGTTGTAACAACAGTTAAACCCTCAGGAAAACTATCCTGTTGATGAAGGATCTACAGTACATACCAAAGAACAATGGGTATATGTTCTATACAGCATAATACCTGCATTATAACTGCACTGCAATATCTGCACTCAAGTCCGTCAGCAATGTGAACCACCTAGCTTTTCTGCATTTACATGGTATACCATTCTAAATTTCCTTCCAGATCACAGAAATAATTTCCCTTTGCATTTTATAGCTACAGTAATATGCATTGTCTGCAGGTGTCTTTTTAGAGCTTTATCTCCTTCTAGTAAAGTATTGTATGAAAACTCTCAACCTGCTGTGTTAGTCTGTGTGGCACTTGATTACAAAGTTTTGTTTACAAAAAATCGCAATTAAAATGTACATTTGCTCTTAGAGCTGATGTGCTGCATTCTGTATATTGTGGGTGGGCTTTCTTTAAAGATGTAAATATGGGCTATTGTTTGTAATTACTGTATAAACAAAAAAATTCAGCAGCACATATTGAAGCTCGCAGATATAATTATGATGTATTTGTGCTGCGTTTGGGGACAGAATTCATTGCTTTGCTGCACTCCACAAAAGGCCTTTTTCATAGCTCTGTAGCACAGCTGAAAGTATACAGGGATACAGGGAATACAAAAAAAACATTTACAGTATATTACTGTATCACCATGTACAGTAGATATACTGTAAGGCCTTGTCAATAATTTATTGCTGACTTCCCATTGCTTTTTAAAAACACATCACAATTATACCCCCGAGCTGACACTGACAGATTTTTGCTGTTACTAATCTACAGTAATAAAAAAAAATTAGTCAATTAATACAATGTGTAATTGTGTATAAAACGTCAATGTAGAGACTCTGTAAAGATAATTGGTAACTTTGATACACTGATCACTTGGTATTATAATTTTCAGGTTTACTACACATGGTCACTAAGAACCAATATTCATCTCATCAAGGTATGAAGATTTAAATATTAATTTCTTTTAAGTGTATAGGCAATTTTAAAATCCCATCTTTCTCCAACTGCCCTAGTGATCCCTGAGTCATACAGTTTTCCCAGACCCTAAGTGAAATAATTTAATCCTGTGTAAATTTGCTATTTCTTTTTAATTTTCTTGGATGTCCTCTGATTCTTTCACAAGACATCAGGGCCTTCTACATACTGGCATTCACTATGATTTTAATTACATGTGAATCATTTAATTTTGTTTCAATTATTAGTTGTTGTTTTTTTTACTGGATTCACTACTTTTTTCCACAGATGATTTTTTGGAAATATGCCTGATTTTTCATGTGCAAGGGAAAATGTGAACACAACAAGACAGAACTATCCTAAAAAATATAGATGTTATACTGAAATAACTGAAATAACACCTCTGCCAGCCTTCACTAATCCCCGACAAGTAAGGCAGCTGAGCAATGGGCAATGTTGATGTGAGCCAGCAAAATATCCAGAAAGGACACAAAGCTCTGAGACTCAATTCCAGATACAACGCTTTCCATAAAAGTATAAACTCTTTTCCATTGATTGTTGAATTACAAATGGTGTACACTTTATGCACCCATTTCTTTAAAGCAAATATTGTAATCAATACTTGAATACTCAAACTGAACCCTTTTATGGGTGAAAGATGTTACGTCAGCATGAATTGCAAAGAAAAATACAAAACTGAAATATGTTGGTTACATTCACGACATTTGCCATAGAAAACCTAATTTCGTCTAGGTGTAAAACATTACTTTGATGAACCATATACTCTGTATATAAATACACAATATCAAATTGCAGATCATATGACATTACCGAAATAAGTGTAACCAATGGTATACCCAGTGCATAATGTGCAGTTTCCTGTGCTAATCATTCATGCTGTACATCTACCTTATACAAGTTATTTTGTACATATTTATGCATGTTCTTGCATATTTAAACATATTTTACATTAATATAGTAAAAATAATAAGCATCATCATTATACCACATCACTTTCAATTACTGTTTATAGAATTCAAGGTCACACTGGCCCAGATCCTATCCCAGGAAGCATTGGGCGCAAGACAGGATCCATCCCTGATAGGATCGTTGCAGGGCACACACAGACAGAAATACACACACTCACACATAGGCCAGTTTTTTACAGAAGCCAATTAACCTGTCAGCATGTCTTTGGACTGTGGGAGGAAACCCACACAAACACAGGGAGAATATGCCAACTCACAGGACCCCAGAACTTGAGCCCAGGACCCCAGAGCTGCAAGGCCAAAACCATTGTGCCACCATGCTTCACAGTGAAAATAATATTTTTTTTCCGAATGGATGGATACAAAACATTTTAACAAATGTTTCTACTAAACATCTTTCCATAATTCACTATTTTCCTCTCCATATAATAATGAATACACAGTTCATATGCCATATAAACTGAATGTTGTAATTTCCATGATTATTTTATGTCTTATTTCTTTTAGTTTGATCACAGTGTTTAACCTTTCAAGGTAAAGCAAACATTACTCTTAAGAGACCATGCACAGCAAGGCTCTTGTACTACCACCTACACACTTTACTCTAGGTGTATACATCAAATCATAATAGCTACTTCAATACATACAGATCTTATAATTTACAGGCATTACGTTTAAAAATACAATTTAATGCTTGATGGGCAAGGTCAATCAGTAACTAAACAAGTCCTGGCAAATACAGTAAACCTGTAATATTGTTTAGAATAAAAATAGTGTGCCCAAAGAAAATAACAGCATTAAGTATCAACTAAGATTTAGCACTTCATATTATGGAATGTGAAAGAATAGGTTAGATTCAGACATCTGCAAGTAGTTATCTTAATCTTTTAGAGAGTTAAAACTTTAACACCACTTTTAATTCCAAAATGGTTCACCTTCCTCTGTCCATTACAACTCAACAAAAACATGCAAAACATAACATGCCCTCATCAGGTAAATTCCATTTGTCCTACCTTCGTCACCTGGAATGTGTCCGTTATTGAGCTGTTTTATTCTTTTAATGTGAGACTTCCCATTGTAATGGATTTGCGCCTGGGCGGCTGAGTTCAGCTGAATGTTACACAGTTCACACAGGGTCAGACTGGGTTGCTTATCCTCTGTCTCTGCTCCTGTATTGCTCATGGTTTTGGTGCTTGTCTCACCTAAAGGTCTGCTGTCATACTCCAGTGCCATTCTGTCATTTTCTAAGGCACAGGGACTCTTCATACCTTAAACCTGAAAGAAAATAATCCCTTGAGAATCACAGCACAAACCCTTCCACGTCAATTACTTGCATGTTATTAGAAAAATAGTACCATTTTTTAATAGTACCATGGTTGAAGGTTAGGTTTGATATGTGAATGAACAGAATGAATTTTAGTTGTCTCAAATTATTTAAAATACTATAAGCCATTTTGTTCCTCTTATTGAGTTTAACTGAATGTATGTAAAAAAAACAGTACAGTGTACAATTTACCTTACAATGGGGCTGGTTGACTGAACTAACTGTAAAACGGCACAAAGACATTAAGAGGTAAATTGTACATACAGTAGTGCATGGATTTCACCAATTTAGAAATAACTATTACATGTGTAGGAGAAAAACTATGTAACTCACTACCTAGACAAAGAGAAGCAAACATTACTGTCTTGAGGCTGAAGAGAAGATGGTAATTTTGCCAGGTGCTTTAAAATAAAGCTTTTTGATCTTGTGAAATTGAGTAATCTTCTTATTAAGCAAGATATTTTATGTTTTACTGCTTAAACAAACCATATCTCATTAAATATTTTTATTGATTTTTTAAAAATATTTTCATTCAATGTTTTATTTTTTTACCTCAACAGTTTTCTTTCTGAATTCAAATGTAGTAAATATGTAAAGGGGAGTTCTGAAATTAAATTGGGATTACTTATTTCCAAATTAATCAAAATGATGATTATTTATTCATATATTAAAAATCAATATTATTTCTTTTACAGAAGAGGGCAGAAGTTTTAGTCAGAGGGCTGAAATGTGAAACATGGTCCATGCTACAAAAAGTGTCCTAGAAAAACTACTTAGATTCACAAATGTATAAATCAACAAGTTCTTTTTTTTAAGAATGTGAAACAGAAGAAAAAACACACTGCATATTTTTGGACCTACTGAGCCAGATGATAAAAATAGTGATAGACTTTCTTGAAAGGATGTCCCATACAAACCTGTCCAAATACTGTACCATTCAGAAATATATAAAACCCCAGAAGGTTACATAAAGCATTGATTTTTATGGCAAACGTATTGGGGTATCTTATTTCAGATTGGATTAATAAGAAGATGCCTTACTTCTCATGTGGGCAAATGGCAGCTGCACTGGTTATGTTATAGACTGCAGCTCTAGCTCCAAGGCTTAATCAATACAGGGTGGCAGCTATCTTTTTGAAAACTAATGGCCCAGAAAACGATCAGTGCATGTAAGAAATAATGCAGTTCTCTTTCAGTAAAATTCTTTATTTATACCACTTCCTGGACACATCCAAGAATGTACAGAAAAAAGTAATAGGTTTATTCCATGCTGAAAAAAAGAAGAAAGAAAACACAATGTTTCGGCCGTGGAGCCTTCTTCAGGTGTCATCACACACGCCATCACACCTGAAGAAAGCTCCACGGCCGAAACGTTGTGTTTTCTTTCTTCTTTTTTTCAGCGTGGAATAAACCTATTACTTGTTCCTTTGCAGCCTATGCATTCTGACGCAGCTATCCACCTGAACTACTAAAGAATGTACAGTACAATTTAATAAAAATGCTTATTTTTTTTCGGAAAGCCATTTTAAAGGATTTGTACTCAAGCTTTGACAGCGTTGGATAAGCATAATTGAAAATGTTCTTTGTTCTGTTATTTCAAGGTGAACTGAGAAGAGAGAAGTGAAATGCAACTAGTGAAAACATTAAATGATTTCTGGAAATGTATACCCATTGTGACTTATTCACATATTAAAAAAGAGGAACAGTGCTATTGGTTTCAATTTGGCGTGCAGCCTAAATCTTAAACCTGACTTGAGCAGACACTGCTGTTCAATCCAGTGCCTCATTATACCTTAGCCATTACATTTCCTCATAGTATAACCCATATAAACATATTTTTATTGCCACTTGAACAAAGACTCTAACCAGGGCTGCCCTGTTTTCTTCTAATCTTTCGTTTTTAAAAATTATTACATAAAATAAACTCCAGCCTACTAACTGATACATAACGGTATTCTTTAAAATATTTCAAATTATACTGTAATTTCAATCAGTTTAAATATTCATCTATCCATTTTCAACAGTCACTTATTCTAAAAGTTGCAGGGAGCTGAAGCCTAATCCAGCAATTACCAGTCACCTTGGGGCTTGAGAGAACATATGAACTCCAAATACTGTAGAAGGCACCCAAGTCTGGATTCAAACCCAGGAGCCAGATTCAGTGAAGTTGGAGCATTAACTGTGGACAGAATTGTGCTATTTGAAAAAACAAATCGTGCAGATATAACAACAAATAAATGAATACTTCAAGACTTTATAATACAAATATAAGGCATTTTTTCCAAAATTTGGAATATTACTATACATACTGTGGAATTACATTTGCATTAAGAATTGTGAATTTCTGTGCTATTAGAAGAACTGTTAAACATTTTATAACATGGGTGGAAAGTTGTAGAAGATTGGTTAATTATATACTCAGACAATGCAAAGACTACACACTCTTTATCCTGCCTCAACTATCTATGGAGTAGGTAAGGGCAAAGGCTATAAGCATTTTTCACTTCCCTATTTGCTTCATATAATTTTAACATGAATACTAATAGTGTTAATCATTTCCACAACCAACTACGGGAAATGTAACGAGCTGTCTTTCATCTTGTTAATGCTTTCCATTAATATATGGCCTACTTTTCGCAGTACTAGTTCAAGGACTGACATAACTTTGTTGTCATTAATTGCTTTTCAGCAGTCACTTCATTATTGATCCCTCCACTTATCACTGTTCATTGACTGAACCTCATTTCACAGCAAGACTAGCCTGCTGTTTCAGCAAACTCAGTGACATTTTAACCGCTGTGCTATTTCACACACACACACACACACAAGGCACTGAACCCCTTCATTACACCTTTGTTAATCCTTTTGTCCTTCACAGATAAGATGACCAAGAACCAAGAATGGAAGAGATATAGTCCCTACTCTTTGTAATGCTCCAAGTCTGCAGGGCAGTACAGTAGTTCTCATCAATGTGTCTTATCCTTTAATGGTTATGAGGTGTGTGTGCTAAACACGGATGGAGTACAGAGCAAGAAAGAATGGAGCAGAAGCTAGCAGTCCCTGACAGTAGAGAGAAACAGGAAACTTCTCTAGTATGGGGGAATAGAAATGAAAAAAACATTAAATTAAAAAAAACATTTCAAAGCCTATAATTAGAATAATTATAGACCCCATTTTATATTATACATTGCCAATACTTACATGCATTGTAAACCGTCCTTACCTTACTGAATTTTATTATAGGATCCATGGGAGGTTTTTACGTAAAGTCAGATTCGTGTACTGTAAGTCAAGTCTTGTGAATCCCCAGGAAAGAGTTATAAAAAAATGAAGAAAAAAAACTAAAACATTTAAAACAATTAAAAATTTGAAAAAAAATTTCAAAATTAAATATTAGAAGTGCAGAGCAGAGTGAAAACAACGTCTATCAAACAGTTAATAATTTGTCTGTAAGGTAACATGTAAGAAGTGGCATGAAAGAAATGAAAGAGAAGACCAGGCAAGCATCAGAATTCTGAGCGAATTTGAGATGGCAAATAACTACGGTTTAGAGACCAGCCAGAAGGGAGTTCCATTAGTTAGGGAAGGTATCACGGTCTGAACTAGAAATTGAGGGGGAAAAAGGTGTTGGTAGTATTCAAGAAAAATAGTAATGGATAGGTCATCAGAAGTAGAAAAAGAGGAAAGGAAGAAAATGAGATCAGATTTGGAGATGTTTAGCTGGAGTTGATGGGAGTGCACCCATTAGGAGATGGCTGAGAGACAGGCATTAATACAAGAGGAGACAGAATTTTATCAGTGGGAGGAAAGGAGAAGGAGAGTGCATAATAATAATTCAGTATAATATTAATAAAAATCTAAGTAAGGTGGTTGTTACAAGTCTTATAATGCCTGAATATAGAAGCTAAAAAGACTCATCTACAATTGCTCGAAAACCCTACTCAGTGTTTTTAATAGGCTTTTTCACAATTTTTGGCATAAGTTCAATTATACCCTATTACCAGTCTATTTTAAGCGGTAAGCTGCAAATCAGTTATTGGAAGAGAAAAGTTGTGATTTGTACTGAGTTTCACTGCCTTGTAATCAAGTATAATCGCTCTGAGGCACTTCAAGACAAATCCCCTATAGTAATTTAGATTAACTGTCACAGCTCAATCCAAAGCTGACAGTAACACTTCTCAAAACTGGGAAAAATATATTTGATGTACTGCAGGGAATGAAAATATTTACTGAGAGCCAAAATGCATCCTTATCAACAGCAACTTAAAATAGAGACTCCCTGCTGAAATCTGATATCTCAAATGCTATATTCCTAATATCTTGAAAATGTGTAATTACAGTACAGTACCTGAAAAAAGTTTAAAATATGGCTACCATAGTTTAATCATACAATACAGGCTTATAAGTTTAGACATATTTTAACAACTTGGATACGTCAGTGATTCCCATTCTTATTCAGGAAAAGGTTTCTCATCCATAGGACCGTGCTCCACATACAAATTATGAAATAATAAATCAGTAGAGAAATCTAACTGGCTCACTGAAAAGCTTTAAAAATTATATGACAATTCTGTGGGTGCAACACCTAATGACTAGAATTACAATGGGTAATAAGGTCAACAAAATAATCTCAATTGGATGTACCAGGTAAACATGATTTTCTGTTGAAAATATTAAAGAGCAAACCTTAATTTTAAACAATAAATATGCTTAAGATACCTACTTAGAGATTATTAAACACCTTCAAATTCTGCATACACAGTGTGCAATATATTAATTTGTACTAATTAATTTCTGTATAGCTGGCACTGACCTGGAGGACGTCACATTTGTACATCAGGATAAGGAATCCACTCGCTATCTCCAGGTGAAGGCAAGCAGACAGGCGAGGAACTGGGAATGCACCTGGCTCACTAGCAGATCTGGGGATGAGCTGTGCAGGCAGACAGAAAGTGGACAGAAGAGGGAATTTGCCATGCTGCCAGGCAAAACACAACAGGGACAGTACGCAGGGCAGCCATGTGGAAAAGAACTAGGAAGCTGCACAGCCCAGCAGGACAGGTGAAGTGCTAAGGACCCTGCCCATGGACAAGAAGCAACTAAGAGACAGACAGTGATCTGGTTGGCCACTTGATCTCTGTAAGGGCTTTTGGAAGTCCCACCGTCGGGGGAATCAAAGAAATATAGTGCATTTCGAAGCCCTTTTGAGTTGTATGAGTTTACAGCCATGCCATTTGGGTTCCGTCTTAGAATTGGGATGGAGAAGTCAGACAGATTGAGACAACTGGAACTATAAACTGGCATGCGACATGCCATGTTTGTTCATGCGACATGCACTTCCATTTCCGTGTAGGAAGCTCAATGACAGAGCGTCTGAATGTGGACTTGACGCTCTAGGCTTTAGGCCTTAGGCTCTAGGCTTAGGCATTCAGCTTAGGCATTCGGCACTGATGAAGTAATTACTCATTAAGTGGTGTCAGGGGGCCAATTGTGGCCAGTTGCCATGGAGACGGGGGGCTGTGAACTCTGGCTCGCCCAGGCATAATATAGGTATATTCAAATACATATTGTATCACTTGTAGTCTCATCTCTAGTTTCTGTACTCTAATTCTGTACTCTGAGCTCTGTGTACTGTACATACCACGGCAGTTGACACATTTGACAACTGGGCAATAACTGCACTGTTCACATGATGACTGCACTTGAACAACAATAATTCAAAATTTAGTACTGGGAGAAAATGGACCAAGATTTATTGTCTTTTTAAGTTATTTTTTATTGTGAGTAAATTCAGAACTGAAAGCAATGGAGATGTTGCTCACTCATAATGTTGTTTATCTTTAATTTCAACTGCAAAATAATGTAAGTAATGTAATTCATTTACAATTCTATGTAGAAAAAAATAATGTATTTGTGACCCCCTTTCAGGAATCTCAAAGCACTGTACAATACTATACCAGTAATACGGATAATAGAAGCAAAAAGAAAGCAAGTTGGCCCAATACCAACAGGAAGCTAAATTGTACATGAAATCTCAAGCAAGAAGTAAAAAAAAAAGGTTGCATACATTCTCTAAGTCTCTAATTTGGACAGCAAAGTCTGCAAACAGTGTTAGTCACAAAAAGGCTTGGCCTTTGGCACAGTAAGAAGGCATGTATCATCAGATCTCAGTTTAAAGTACTGGATACATGTGATCCGTTTTTAAGAAGAAGCTAAATGACTCAGAGTCATATCCATAAACAGGAGAAGCTTAACATCCTCTGAAAGCATTGCAATTTACAAAGACACTTTTAGTTAGCACACAAGCTGCAGATTAATGAACATACTGAAAACTAATTATTAAATGAGAAGGTACAGTACCACAATAAGTAAGGCATGAAGAAATTAATCTAATCTTGATTAAATAAAGCTATGCATCATTATTTAGCACTGGGTAGTTAGAATGCGGGTCTTAACTGAGCAATATTACACAAGTGAAAGAAATATAACCTTGTGGTACTTCAAAAATGAAAATAATGGGTCAAAAGTAACCATCCATTTCAACCAGATCAACATCACCACTGAAGTCACCACCTTTGCAAAGCTCAGATTTAGAGTCTAAGTGTATACGTTTTGCCACAGTTTAGCTAAAGAAGGTTCTGTTCAAATCTGTTCAAATCTTATATTCAGTCAGTCATCTGTAAAGTGCAGAAACCACAGTAGTATAATCTGATTTGGTCTGCAAGCAAAGATGACTATAATCAGCAAAGCACTGAAATATATTGCATACCTACTGTACTGTAGTGGCTTTCAAGACATATGGTCTCATACATAATATACTGTATACTGTACCTATTGTACACACACTAGATAGTAGTGGAGTTCACCTTCTTCAGAAGTTCCACCTTCATAATTATTTTACGCATCAAAGTCATTAACTAATTTGGAAGTTTGATGTGCTTGTTCTAACCACTGTATATAAAATTTGTATACTTCATAAAAAGCTATAATGTTCTATCCTTTTCTAAGAATAAGTAATAAGAACACTTTACTTGCTGTTATTGTAAAAAAAAAGTAAATACTGATTTAATATCACTTGATAGGGAATATTAATATGGAATCACATAACTAAAGAAATTTTGACAGCTAAAATATCACTTGTGGATATTTTGGAAACATGGCGACGTTCATTTTAACACTTGTATTGTCCTTATAGCGGTAATGGACAATGAAACATGCATAAACTGTAATGTACTGTAGCTCATTGTGCCCAAGTGGCAGTTTAGCATAGTGGTTCAGACAGCCTCCTGCTACTAAGAAGGTGAGCTGATCAAATCCTGGACAGACCATTGCTTTGTTTTTTTTTTACATACAGTACAGTAGATGGATATATAAAAAATAGTTTAGTATATATAGTAGAAATAGTATAGCTTGTTGTGAATGTGAAGTGCCTGTTTCAGGTCTCCCTTCCTCAATTTAACATCTGCTACTGTATATCCCAGTACCGCTATGAGATTGTGAATGTAAATTGAATATTTAAATAGTGAGTATATGTAAAAGTAATAAAAATGTCAATATAGTACATGTATGAATTTAATTAAATTATTAATTAAGTTTATTAATTTCAATTTAAAGATAATCATAATGTAATTCTAAGATATGTATAAATATTTGTATAAATAAACTGTATAATTTGATTTCATAATTATGTGTGTGGTTATATTATGATGATTAAATCACAAGAGAATATAAATATAAATAATAAATATACTGTATTTACAGTAAATATAGTATAATGCCCAATAGTTTTAAATCCACTATCGTACTTTCACATGCCCCCTATCCATGCCTTGCACTGAAGTCACAAGAAGTCTTGTCTTTTTAAATGAAAGCCCTTCTAAAAAAGCAAATAGTCTCTCTTAGTAGCAAAAGTATGCTGATTTGTTTGTGCAAAGGCCAAATAAGACAAAGCTAAATGATCGTGAAAAAGTATGTGAATAAATGTATAGGTTCCAGAAGATATTCATAACTGTTTTACTTGTTAGTACTTTGACGTATTCCTGGATATTCTGATATTTGAGTTCACAGTGCATCAGGATAACAATCCAAATGTTTTGAATAATCACTTTGATTGCTTTCAAAATTCCTTAGACATTTATTGTATTCGATATAGTACTTAGTGTACAACAAACTGATTTTTTGCATTCTATAATCTTTAACCTTAAATATTCTATCTTAAATATCTATTTTTGATTTTTCCCCATTGGATTTAAAGAATGTAGGGGCAAAGAAGATCATACACCCAGATTATTTTCTGTTGATGATATGATATTTTTAAGGAGATGGGAAAACATGTCAAAGATCCACATATTATCAATAAACACAGACATCACAATGAACACACGGTACTTGACTAAAAATAGTTGAAGCTAAAAGTCCTGGTTGCATGTTTAACTTTAAGAGATACTGTGTTGGAAGATCAGAACTAATACAATACGTGAGAAGGTGGAGGTGACCTCCCATTGTCTTTTCTGTATCCCCTAGTGGAGGCAGTAATCAATCTTTCCTCATCTCATTCACATGGCAGTAATTCAAGAGCACAGCTCAATGTAATTCATGCTGCTCATTTCCTGAGTCAGAAAAGTGTTTAAGATTAGAATGAGCAAAGCCAGTCAATCCACAACAACTTCTTAGGACATTACAAAGGCAGGCTAAGATCTGATGAATTGCATTTCTGCTTTTCTCTCAGTGATGAAACTCCCTTTGGTCTTTTATTTCAAGGTTAAAATTGTGTCTTACAACATAAATTACTTCAAAAGAAGTGTGAATATCCACCCATAAAAAAACTAACTGCTACTTATACCACTGCTAATTACTACTCCTGGTTAAATTATTAATATGATTTTGCTTCTGCTATTATGTTTTTAGGTTTGAAGGGAGTGAAATAGCTATAAGGTGATTTATTAACTGTCAAAATGTAATCAAAAGAAACATTTTAGTTATTTTTATAAAAACAATGGAAAAGATTGAAATTAAAAATATACTACTTGGTCAAGCTGTAAAAAACACTGTTGCTTCAAAGGTAAGAATGATTTGTGCAGTACATTACTGAGTGTCTCTTAAAAATTGTATTTGTTATGCTTTTATAGATGATATACCAATTCGGTTTAAATAAGATACAAGGCACAAAGGTGAAATTGGCTGGTACACGTGACATTGTAGCATCAAGGCAATGTGGCATGGCCTTTGAGGCTATGTGTCCAAACTTGTATAGTACAGTATATTGATCTGTAAGTACCGTAATTACATTAAAGGATGAATTTCTGACAGTAGTTAGTAGAGTTTAAAATCATAAAAAAACATAAAAGTTTGTGACTGCTAAAAACATCCTGTTGTTTAAGCATATTCATTGATTAACAAATGTTATTGACCTTACATCCTGAGTCAACTCAAGTGTCTGTTGGTGCATGAGAAAGTTTTCTTTTTGTTAGGGAAAATTAATATACTGTATACAATGCTTCACAAAAGTATGCACTCGTTCCCAAAGAGGTTATATTTTTTGGAATTATAAATGATGTACACATCTCTTTAAAGTTAAGATTGTACTCATAGTGAAGTGTCTTTCCAGATCAAATGAGTTAAAGGATAATTAATATGCTAATAACTTTACTAACAGCTTTACAACAAAGTTTTGAATTGCATTGCTTCCTTGTCTCTAATGCACATTTTAAGTTGTTTGTAACAATTTATTAACTCTGCAAAACCTGAAATACTGTACAGGATAGTCCCTTGCAACAGAAATAAATCTGACTATTTTCAGTTCAAAACAAAGTCCAAGCATTAAAGTACTGGATGGGTATTTCAAGATCTGTAAAAAA